TTTTTTTTTTTTTAATTGAAGTAATTAAATGCTTAGTTTCACTGTTTGTTGATTTTCAAGTCTAACTGATGACAAGATTAAAATGACATATAGAACAGCGATTATTTTATTTATTTATTTGTTTTTAATCCAAAATGATTATCAAATGTTCTGCTTTACAGGGTGCCAAAGGGGAAACAGGACCAGATGGTGAAAAGGTAATATCAAAAGCATATAATATCAGTATAATATTAGCCACAAACATTACATAAAATGATGCTATCACCATTAAAATGTTTTGAATTATTTTTAGTGAATTCTTTTTTTCATGACTCTCTCAGGGGGCAGTAGGACGTAAAGGAGAGAAGGGTGCTAAAGAGGATAAGGTATGGCTGCTAGAATCTGAACTAGCCATCACAGTTTCTCTTCCTCTTTCCATTACACTAGTCATAGTTTTATTTTAACCACAATTTCGTCATCATTTCACTTCACAGGGAGACGCTGGATCTCGTGGTGACAAAGGGCAGGTTGGTCATCACTGTTGAGGTTAAACAATATTTTTATGTCAGAACCGTGGCACAGTGGTAGTCCACAAGCTCATGACGTACAACGACGCAGGTTTGAACCTGAGCTACATTGTTTCCTCATCACTCCATTACTCCAGTCTTCAGTGTCACATGATTCTTCAGAAATATTTATTTCATTTTTTTTCCCTTTGATGAATTGAAAGTTCAAATGAACACCATTTATTTGAAATAGTTTTTTTTGTATTTAAAAGGCTTTACTATCACTTTGATCAATTTAATGTAGTAAAAAGTATAACAATTAAACAAAATAATACTAAATAAAGTGGAACCAGTTTTAATTCTGTAACTGTTGTTCATTACTTTAACTAACTGAGGTTTTTCTTATGTGATGTAGCGTGGGGTGAAGGGTGGTTTCGGTCGTGATGGGCTTCCTGGTCCTATTGGACCTCCAGGTCTTCCAGGTCCCAGAGGAGATGAAGGCCCTAGAGGAGACCAGGGAGTGAAAGGACAGAGTGGGCCGAAAGGAGAGCTAGGTGAACCTGTGCGTAGCTTCATGATTATTATGAGCAAGGACTTCATTTTGAGTATATGGAAGTGTTATAGGCCTGAATGCAGATAAATATTGATTTCTGTCATAAAATATATTGGTGCAACTCACTGCAGGGTCCAGGACTGACAGATGAGCAGATATTGCAGCTGTGTCAAGGTGTGGTCACCGCTCAGATCTCCCAGTATGCTTCATCTATACGTGCCAAATGCGTATAGGGCTGTCCAATCAACAACTGTACCCTCATCGGACCCCCAGGAGTCAGAGGATCTCCTGGAAGTCCAGGAAAACCGGTGAGCTGATATATGAAGTTG